TGCCAGCATTATAAAAAATCATGCGCATGATTCTATAATTTCATGCGCATCATGCGCATGTCATGTGCATTGCACATCACTAGGCAGGATCGCCCTTCCCAAAAAAGTTGTTGCTGCGGTAATCAGACGAATTCTGGAATTCTTGGAATTCCTAGAATTCGGGTAATTCAAAGAATAGTAAGAAAAATAGGATAGTGGGAAAGATAAGAAAAATGAGAAAAATCAGAAAAACTAGAAAAATTAAAATTCGCGTTATTCTTGTATATGCAAAAATTATTATATAAATGGAGGTCTCTCCAGAAATAAAACATAACTTCTGAAGTTCAACTTGAAGAATCCCAAAATAAGAGTAGAAGTGTTTGTCTTTAACCCGTTATACCCTTTGTTAAAAATCGTTCGTCGTTATCGTATTTTCTTTTCCCTGTGACTATCGTACATCGTATTGTCGTATTTAGTAAAAGAAAGAAACTGTATTAATAATACAAGCCCCCTTATATATTAAAATCGACCCTGATTAAGTTTGAGTGTCGCTAAAAGAAAACATACACATTTATATATAACTTATATATAAATGTGTATGTTTTCTTTTAACGACACTCGTTTGTGATCATCCTGATTCGTGAACCTGTGATACGGTGACCTTGTATCATTTTCGATTGGCCAATTTCGATCACGAGACCCAGCCGCAGTAACCCTAACGAAAGAAGTAAAGTATTAGTAAAGTAACAAGCAAAGCGACTAAATCACCAAACGAAAGCAAAAGTACACTCATCTAAATCCAACGCTATCGCTATAAACCCAAAATAACACTGATTACTCGGACCAAGTCTTTCCACGCCTCGATCGAAGCCTTACCAATATTAGGGTTTGGTTATTATAGTAAGAGTGTTCTAGTTTGGATAGTTTAGTTAGTATTAATGTTAGTAGTGGGTTGTCATATTTCGGCCAGCAACTTTTCCGACGCAATTCACACTTTCTCAACGTACGTGCTGTACGTATTTACTAAAATTCTGTATATAGCAGATTCGTCAAACTTGTAGTTATACAACATGTATTTTTTTTGCGGAATTAACAATCGCCTAAATTTTTTCAAAAATTAAAAAACTATTTTTGGAAATTTTATAATGCATATATTAGAGATCTGTGGATTTCATCAAAAAAATGCAGGCCGTGTAACCGTATGGCAAAAATATGTATACTGTATTATGTTTATAAAACTATTGCGATTTTAAAATCTGAAATCTATGTATCACTGCCAAGACAAATCGATTCCAGTCACCAATTGACTATGAAAGGTTTCACGGCCTCATATTTTATGGTTTCAGAGGATTTCTGTCTTATAAACTGTGCACTACCTAAATTTTTTTGATTTTAGTCATCACTATCCTTTCATTCAAATCCTTTCGTTTAATAAATATTATTTTGATTTAGCTGGACTATTCAAAATGAACGTCATTCATTTAGTTGGTATCATTATAATACTATTAATTAGCATTATTACGGTACTATTATTAACATATAAATACACTCCTTTATATATCCTTTATGATTGGATTGCTTTTGCTTGGTATCAAGAAATATCATTATATTTTTACAGTTTAATTTTTGCATTCGTTTTGATTTTTTGTAAGGCATTTAAATATTTAGAAATCTCTTTAACTTATGAATTTAAATCCCTTCTTGGTTATTTATTTATCATATGTACCTATTTAACTTATATATGCGTGGATTATTTTAGTCTTTCTAAACTTAAGCCCATATTTGGGAATACAATCCTAGGCATATATATGTATTTTATTCTTTCTAGATATAGAAGTACCATTTATAGGATAGTAATGTTCTTGATAGTTGTTTATGAAATTGATTTGGTTAATTTAGCAATTGGTTTTGCAAAAAATTTTATCGATATAATGTTTCTTTATAAATGGGTATTTTCTCCAATTCATGGCGAATTAGTCTTGTATTTAAGCGTTCAATTTATTCAATTTATTCCTTTTATTTATATCTACTTTAGATCTTTCGAATCTACACAATTTACACGAAAAACTTTTTTTCAATTAATTATTCTAATTACTTTATCATTGCTTACTCTGAAATTTATCACTTTATCATTTCTTTACTCTTACATTCTATTACCTGCTTGTTCCAGACTATTTAAAAGTTTTTATACTTCTTATACAGTACATTTCTTAATTGAATTTTTACAAATAGGCTCTTTTTTTTTAACCAAATTTTTATCCATACATTTTGTATTGCGTATCAAGGCTGTAATTTATTTTCTGCGTTCAATTGAAGAACATTTACCTACTATAGTTGAGGATCTAAAGAAAGCAAGCTGGAATTTGACAACAACAGATGAACCGACGAAAACTTTGATTATCAATGCCTTATTTCAAGCGATTAATGAAAGCATTTTATCTGAAGATGTAAATCGTATTAT